GGCTTGCAGGGGCAGCCTTGACTATCCGCTCAACCAGTACAAACCTGCTCTCTGCGAACCCCCCTCCCAGCCCCAGAACCGGCCCAGAACTCCAGGTGATGGCCCTGGGCTAAGGTAGGTCCTGCACAGCCTCCCTGCAGGGTGGGACTCACCGGAACTGTCCTTTCACCTTCAGGGAGAAAGCACGATTTCTCCTTTGCCTTCCCGCAGACCCCAACTGCGACCCCGACTGCGCCCATTTAGAATCTAGGCCGAGCTGGTTTGAAAGTGCTCGGAAATGTTTCCTATAAAGTTCTAAATACCAGTTTATTTAAGTAAGTGGCCACACCCACTCCTGTCCCAGAGCATCCGTGGACGCTAATCGGGGACCGGGTCGGCTGCTCCTAGTGTGGGAGTGTGGACCATGGGGCCCGGCACCCCCGTTTCTGGATAGCCCTCCGAACCTTCCCCTCCACCCAGGCACTGTGGATCTCCGTAAACCAAATCTGTAGATTGCCCTCAGGCTCCTTCAGACGAAGGAGACCCCTTTTGGCCTAGCAGGCCGCTGCAGGAAGAAGGCCAGGAGGCAGAGCCACAGCCGTGGCATGGCGGGAATCCTGTCCTCAGCCACCCCAGGAAGCCCTGGGCAGGCGCCTGCCCCGTGAGGCAATGGCTGATCCTGCCCCACCCCGACTCTGCCCCCTTCCACATGTTGCTGGGCCTGAAGGGACAGGGAGCTCTCGCCCTGCAGCCCTCCGTGTGCGACGCAGAGTGGGCAGCCATGCCCAGTGGCCCTGCCCTCTGCTGGGACAGGGCTGCAGCCACGACCGCTGACAGGGAGGCCACCAGAGTCCTGTAGGAGCCCAGGTCTCCTTCAGCCCCTGGTTTTGTTCTCCCGCTTTGTAGAGCAGGCCAGAGCGGTTAGCGTCCCACCGAGCAGAAGAGCTTGTGCCCGGTGGTGCCCTGTCCCCGGCTCTGCCATGTGGACCTTCCCGCCTCCCAGCAGGCCAGAACTAGGAGGCAGTGCTGGGCCCTGGCCGGGAGGGTGGCCCCCGGGGTCTGCCCTGAGGTCCCATTTGTTCGCGCCCCCACACTAAGTCAGAAGTAGGCTGGGGGCGGCCGCCGCGCAGACAGCGGCCGT